AAGGTAAAAACACAGCGCATACAGTGTTCATGTTTTGTTTTGTTTTCATCCAGACGGCTTCCCGCGCCCCCCCCCTGCAATGACACGGCGCCCCCCCCCTAGGGGGCGCGCCCCACAGTTTGGGAACCTCTGGTCTAATTTATCCAGATGAGTTTTAGCTGCTGAACTGTAAACTAACCAACCAAAATCAAAGTCAGATCTTATCATTCCTGTATAAATCTGTTTTAGCAATTGTCTGTCTGCCCCCCATTCACTACCAGCCAAAAATCTCAATATATTCAATTTTCTCATACATTTATCTAAAATCTTTTGAATGTGAATATTCCATTTTAATTTTTCATCAAACCACAAACCTAAAAATGTTATACTCTTTACCTGCTCTATTTTTTGATTATATAATTTTAAATCTATTACTTTTTGTTTTTTTCTGAGAAAATATAATTACTTTTGTTTTATCCACTGAGAATTTAAATCCCCATTTCAGTGCCCACACCTCTATATCAATAATTACCTTTTGTAATTTCTTTACTATAAACTCAACATTTTTCCCTCTTTTCCAAACAGCCAAACAGCTCCATCATCTGCAAAGAGTGAACAACCCATATCCTTTCCAATATTTTTGAATATGTCATTTATCATAACAGAAAACAATGAGCTTATAATACTTCCCTGTGGCGTTTCATTTTCCACTAGATATTTATCTGAAACTACTCCAATTCTTACCTGTAATTTCCTGTTTGTTAAAAAGTCTTTAATCCATTCATATATTTTCCTTTAATCCCCAATTTGTGTAATTTGTGTAACTTAATTAATAAACCCTCTACCCACATCATATCATTTCTAACTTCATGCTCAAGACATAATGTTGAGTCATTAGTGCTCCTCCCTTTATGAAAACCACTTTGATAATTAGAAATATTATAGCTTTTGACTTATCACTTAGTTGACTTATCATTCTATACCAAATTTTATCTTCACCTGTATTTTTGGTCTTTCTAAGCACACAATTTAATTCCACTTTGGTAAAATCAACATTCAAAAAATGATTTATTTCTTCATCACTCTGTATTAAATTTTTATACTTAAGAACAGTATTTTCTCTCCCTTTTCTTCCCTCTTCGCTAATGTTATTTGTGCTATGTATCTTACAAAATAATCTTGCCATTACCTCAGCTTTATCCTCATCTCTAATTATGTCAGCATTCTCTACTTTTAATACAGGATAATCAAACTCTTTTTTAATACCATTCATTTTTTTAATTACTTTCCATATCTTCTCAATTTTTGTATCTTTCCCTATTGTACTACAAACATTTCTCCAATAGTCTCTCTTAGCTTTCTTTATAATCCTCCTTACTACTGCTTGCTTCCTTTTATAATCAATAAGTTCATATAAACTGGGTTATGTTTTAATACCTTCAAGGCTTTATTTCTTCATTTAATTGCTTCCTTACACTCACTTGTCCACCATGGCACCTTTTTCTTATCATTAATACTCCCTGACGTTTTAATAGAGTTTTCTGCTGTTATTATCTTTGAGATTCTTGCATTTACTTCATTTATATGCATTTTAAAATCTACCTTTTCTAAATACATTTGACTCAAATATCTAAACTTACTCCAATCTGCCTTATTAAAGTTCAATCTCTCCCCTCTATTTTTATACTTATTTCCAATTATTCCTACCCTTATAGTTATAGGATAATGATCACTACCTACTGTAGTTTCTTTATCAACTGACCATACCAGCTACATCATTTGATACAATTGATAGATCAATAGATGATTCCATCCCCGTTCTTATATTGATTCTTGTTCCCCTTCTCTCATTAATACATACTAAATTTTTCTTTTCCATCACTTCTTCTATAACCTGCCCATTTTTATCATTACTATTACCCCATAGTGTACTTTTTGCATTGAAATCCCCACACCAAATTACTCTTCCCTCCAAATAATCTAATAATTCCACCATTATTTCAGACGATAATAATTTACATGGATTATAAAAATTTATTTTAATTTTATCTCCCTGCTCCCATACCTCAATTACTACAAATTCTAGTTCTTTCCCTTTTCCTAAAACCTGATATTTTATCCCTCGTTTTATAAATATTCCACATCCACCTCCCCCTCCCTCTTCTCAATCTCTTCTTATACTACTAACATATCCTCTAATCACAAAATCTAATGTTAATTTTAACCAAGTTTCCTGCACACATATTATATCTGGTTGGACTTCAAGCTCGTCAATATAACCTTTAAATTCCTGTCCATTAGCTATCAAACTCCTAGCGTTCCATTGCAGTATTAACATAAACTACTTTCACTTGCTGGTCCCGACTTCTTATCCACCTCTAACTTTTTATTTATTTCTTCCCATGTTCCTTCCTTAAAGCCCAAGAATATTTCAGCTCCTCTCACTATTATTTTAATCTTCTGGTTTTGTGCTTAGCTTGATCAGTACAGTTGATAACAGAAGCTATGAATAAAACTAGATTTTCCACTGAGTAAGTGACCTTTTCTTCTGCTAGTATTTTAGTTTGCTGTATTGTTTGACTCCCCATTTGCTCCACCTCTTTTTTCCTGCTCCTTCACATTTTTTACAGCTTCTGCATAGCTTATATTTGTAGATGTTTTAATCTGCACAGCTTCTTTAGCCTCTTCCTTACCTCCCATCCTCCGTACGTAACCCTATGATTCCCCACAGTTACAACATTTCTCTTGTACATCTTCCTTACATTCTTTATGATCTTCCCCACATTTTGGACATCTCTGCTTTCCTTTACAAACTGCCGCAATGTGTCCAAACCTTTGGCATTTAAAACACCGAAGTGGTGGAGGAACATAAGGTCTGACTTGGAAACTTATAAATCCTATTTTTATATTACTTGGCAGCTCTTTTCCTTCAGACTCCACTAGGACTGACTGACTCCCCACTCTCTCACCATCCACAGTTCTTCACAGCCTTTTCACATTAGTCACCTTTGCTCCAACAATATTTCTCTTAAGTTTTTCCAGATCCTCATCTAGAGGGATCCCATAGATCACCCCTCTAATTGTTTTATTTCCTCCCAACATTGTTTTCTCCAGCTCAGCTCTTTTACATATATTATCCACATTGAAGGCCTTATTCTTTTCTCTATATTCTTACATTCTATCAATAGGTTTCCGTCTCTCTAAATCTTTACCATTTCAACGTCTCCTATTTTCTTTTTAATTTCTCTTGACACCCCAATTGGGCTGATTTTCTCCTGACCTTCCTCACTCTTAACTTTCAGAATGACTTTAAATTCCTCACATCTTTTCTCCTAACTCTCTCTTCCTCTGAACTGCTTCCATCTAGATCCCGTTTGCTACCTTGACTATCTCTGATTCCCTTCCCTTCGTCTACTTTGATTCTTCCTCGTCCTCTTCCTCTCCCTCTTCCCACTGGCGTCCACCCTTCATATTCCCCATTTTCTTCATTACTTATCTCCATTGCCATTCAAACCATTCACATACCAGTTTATGCCAAAAACCGCCTTTTCCACACTCCAAGTTTTGTTCCACAATCCTAGATCTATCGCTCAAAAGCCCGGCCACAACGTCTTCCATGTTCGTCAAATGATTATCTTCGCAATATCCTAGAACCCACCAACTCAACTCAGGTGTGTTGAAGTAGAGACACATCTAAAAGTTGCAGCAGACCGGCCCTCCAGGCCTGGAGTTGCCCACCCCTGCTTTAGATCAACATTAGATTCTTTTTCTTTTGCTCTATCCTTTGGTTTGTTATTTTTTTCCATTTCCTTTTAATTCCTGTAAACCACTTTGTATCGCCTTGTTACTGAAAATGTGCTATATAAATAAAATTACCTTTATCTTTACTGCAATAATTTGTATTGAATTTTCTGAGACAAACACAATCATGAAACCATCAAAAGAACCTAAAGTAAAGTTTGTATTTTTTCAGACCTTTGACATGGATTGAGGAACGTCAAGCAGGTCTCCCAAGGACTAAGAAGATCAACTTTGTGTTTGACGGCTTCACTTTGACCCAGATTCCTCCAGCACCTAGAGGTACTGTTGGACTTTTTATGCAAGACCTGATCCTCTTCTCTGCCAAGTTGTCAGGCCAAGTGAGTACTGAAGAACTTGACAGAGAGAGGGTGAGAATCTTACACTGTTTGGGACTGGCCCAGAAGATTCAGGAACTTTGCAAAAGTTAAATAAGGATTCTCTGCTTTGTCATCAGCTTGTATTGATCCTGTTTGAATTAAACATTATTTCTCTATTTCTCCTTTAATGTTTGTTCTTTAAAGGCTTCATGTAGTTCTAAGCTCTAAAGATAATTTTTTGTTTGTTTTTCTTGACACATTATTGCTAAAATTGATTTCTATTACTAAGGTTTTCCCATGGTTTTCTATAACTCCATCCCACCATCCTTCATCTGTCGCTTGGTACTTAATTCTGGCAAACGTCCTCTACTAAAGGACAATTTAGAATGAGGAATTATAATTATCCTTATACATAAACATAAATTTGTGTCATGTAAACTTATGAATCCTGTGGCAGACACCAGTATTCATGGTTTTGGATGAATCGGCCACTGATCATAATCAGCTGATTTCCGTGAAAACGTATGTGATTGGTGATCACCGATCACGAAAACCAATCACCTGCATCTCACTTAACAGCCTGCATGTGCAGCTTATCTCCTCTTTCCTGGGTTGGACTATTCTGCTCCAATAGCAGAATATTTAGATCATGTTTGAGATTGGTGGAACTTTTATCTGATTTATGAAACTTCAATAAGGTTGATTTTACCACTTTTTTTGCATCTGGATCATACTGGAACTGCTCCAGCTCCAAAACTACAAACACCTAGACAATTCAAACCTGGACTGGATTATTCTGTTCTAACAGAATATTTATAACCATGTTTGGGATTTGGGAAACCTTTCTCTGATTTGTGAAACTTCAATAAATGGCAATTTTCACCTTTTTTCCTGTCTTGGTCACACAAGATCTGTTCTAATTCCAAAACTACAATACATAGACACTTCAAACCTGGGCTGGATTATTCTCAGCTAGTAGCAGAATATTTAAAACCATGTTTGGGATTCGTGAAACTTTTTTCTGATTTGTGAAACTTCAAAAAAGGGCGATTTCACCACTTTTTTTTATCTTGGTCGCACGAGGACTGCTCTAATTCCAAATCTAAAACACTAGACTCTTCAAACCTAGAATAAATTATTCTCAACTAGTAGCAAAATATTTAAAACCATGTTTGTGATTTGTGAAACTTCAATGAAGGGCGATTTCAGACCCTTTTCTGCATCTGGTTCACACCAGAACTTCTCTAATTCTAAAACTACAACACCCTGACACTTCAAACCAGGACCAGATTGTTTTCAACTAGTAGCAGAATATTTAAAACCATGTTTGGCATTCATGAAACTTTTTTCTGATTTGTGAAACTTCACTTCACTTAACAGGCCGCTGCAGAAGATCTTTCCTTCCAGCAGCCATCACCATCTACAATAACTCTTTGAAGAATTAATTAGTTACACCAACATTTAGTTTCACTTTGGGATTAATAAAGTGGTTTTAATTAGAATTGAATTTGAATTTGAAAAAAATTGCATGGAACAAGTGTGAATAGTAATCTAAACTTTAGTGAAGTTTCACAAATCCCAAACATGGATTAAAATATTCTGCTATTAGAGCAGAATAATATAGTCCAGGTTTGAAGAGTCTAGGTGTTGTAGTTTTGGAATTAGAGCAGTTCTAATATGAGCTACATGCAAAAAAGGGTGAAAATTGAATTTTATTAAGTTTTACAAATCAGAAAAAAGTTTCACATATCACAAACATGGTTTTAAATATTCTACTATTAGTTGCAAATAATCCAATCGAGGTTTGAAGAGTCTAGGTGTTGTAGTTTTGGAAGAGGAGCAGTTATACTATGACAGAGATCCAAAAAAGTGGTGAAATCAACCTTTTTTGAAAAGTTTCACAAATCAGAAAAAAGTTTCACAAATGACAAACATGGTTGTAAATATTCTGCTACTAGTTGAGAGTAATTTAGTCCAGGTTTGAAGNCTCCCTGCTCCCATACCTCAATTACTACAAATTCTAGTTCTTTCCCTTTTCCTAAAACCTGATATTTTATCCCTCGTTTTATAAATATTCCACATCCACCTCCCCCTCCCTCTTCTCAATCTCTTCTTATACTACTAACATATCCTCTAATCACAAAATCTAATGTTAATTTTAACCAAGTTTCCTGCACACATATTATATCTGGTTGGACTTCAAGCTCGTCAATATAACCTTTAAATTCCTGTCCATTAGCTATCAAACTCCTAGCGTTCCATTGCAGTATTAACATAAACTACTTTCACTTGCTGGTCCCGACTTCTTATCCACCTCTAGCTTTTTATTTATTTCTTCCCATGTATCTTCCTTAAACCCCAAGAATTTTTCAGCTCCTCTCACTATTATTTTAATCTTCTCGGTTTTGTGCTTAGCTTGATCTGTACAGTTGATAACATAAGCTATGAATAAAACTAGATTTTCCACTGAGTAAGTGACCTTTTCTTCCGGTATTATTTTAGATTGCCGTGTTGTTTGACTCCCCATTTGCTCGACCTCCTTTTTCCTGCTCCTTCACATTTTTAACAGCCTCTGCGTAGCTTATATTTTTAGATGTTTTAATCTGCACAACTTCTTTAGCCCTCTTTCTTACCTCGCATCCTCCGTACGTAACCCTATGATTTCCCCCACAGTTACATTTCTCTTGTACGTCTTCCTTACATTCTTCAAATTTATGATCTTCCTCACATTTTGGACATTTCTGCTTTCCTTTACAAACTGCCACAATGTGTCCATACTTTTGGCATTTAAAACACCGAAGTGGTGGAGGTACATAAGGTCCGACTTGGAAACTTATATATCCTACTTTTATATTGATTGGCAACTCTTTTTCTTCAAACTCCACTTGGATTGACTGACTCCCAACTCTCTCACCATCCACAGTTCTTGACAGCCTTTTCACATTAGTCACCTTTGCTCCAACAATATTTCTCTTTTAAGTTTTTCCAGATCCTCATCTAGAGGGATCCCATAGATCACCCCTCTAATTTTTTTATTTCCTCCCAACATTTTGTTCTTTTACATATATTGTCCACATCGAAGGCCTTATTCTTTTGCTCTATATCCTTACATTCTATCAAAAGACTTCCGTCCCTCAAAATCTTTACCATTTCAACGTCTCCTATTTTCTTTTTAGTTTCTCTTGACACCCCAATTGGGCTAATTTTCTCCTGATCTTCGTCACTCTTAAGTTTCAGAATTACTTTAAATTCCTCATTCACAACTTTTCTCCTAACTACCCTCTCTTCCTCTGAACTGCTTCCTTCTAAATCCCGTTTACTACCTTGGCTATCTCTGATTCCCTTCCCTTCGTCTACTTTGATTCTTCCTCGTCCTCTTCCTCTCCCTCTTCCCACTGGCGTCCACCCTTCATATTCCCCATTTTCTTCATTACTTATCTCCATTGCCATTCAAACCATTCACATACCAGTTTATGCCAAAAACCGCCTTTTCCACACTCCAAGTTTTGTTCCACAATCCTAGATCTATCGCTCAAAAGCCCGGCCACAACGTCTTCCATGTTCGTCAAATGATTATCTTCGCAATATCCTAGAACCCACCAACTCAACTCAGGTGTGTTGAAGTAGAGACACATCTAAAAGTTGCAGCAGACCGGCCCTCCAGGCCTGGAGTTGCCCACCCCTGCTTTAGATCAACATTAGATTCTTTTTCTTTTGCTCTATCCTTTGGTTTGTTATTTTTTTCCATTTCCTTTTAATTCCTGTAAACCACTTTGTATCGCCTTGTTACTGAAAATGTGCTATATAAATAAAATTACCTTTATCTTTACTGCAATAATTTGTATTGAATTTTCTGAGACAAACACAATCATGAAACCATCAAAAGAACCTAAAGTAAAGTTTGTATTTTTTCAGACCTTTGACATGGATTGAGGAACGTCAAGCAGGTCTCCCAAGGACTAAGAAGATCAACTTTGTGTTTGACGGCTTCACTTTGACCCAGATTCCTCCAGCACCTAGAGGTACTGTTGGACTTTTTATGCAAGACCTGATCCTCTTCTCTGCCAAGTTGTCAGGCCAAGTGAGTACTGAAGAACTTGACAGAGAGAGGGTGAGAATCTTACACTGTTTGGGACTGGCCCAGAAGATTCAGGAACTTTGCAAAAGTTAAATAAGGATTCTCTGCTTTGTCATCAGCTTGTATTGATCCTGTTTGAATTAAACATTATTTCTCTATTTCTCCTTTAATGTTTGTTCTTTAAAGGCTTCATGTAGTTCTAAGCTCTAAAGATAATTTTTTGTTTGTTTTTCTTGACACATTATTGCTAAAATTGATTTCTATTACTAAGGTTTTCCCATGGTTTTCTATAACTCCATCCCACCATCCTTCATCTGTCGCTTGGTACTTAATTCTGGCAAACGTCCTCTACTAAAGGACAATTTAGAATGAGGAATTATAATTATCCTTATACATAAACATAAATTTGTGTCATGTAAACTTATGAATCCTGTGGCAGACACCAGTATTCATGGTTTTGGATGAATCGGCCACTGATCATAATCAGCTGATTTCCGTGAAAACGTATGTGATTGGTGATCACCGATCACGAAAACCAATCACCTGCATCTCACTTAACAGCCTGCATGTGCAGCTTATCTCCTCTTTCCTGGGTTGGACTATTCTGCTCCAATAGCAGAATATTTAGATCATGTTTGAGATTGGTGGAACTTTTATCTGATTTATGAAACTTCAATAAGGTTGATTTTACCACTTTTTTTGCATCTGGATCATACTGGAACTGCTCCAGCTCCAAAACTACAAACACCTAGACAATTCAAACCTGGACTGGATTATTCTGTTCTAACAGAATATTTATAACCATGTTTGGGATTTGGGAAACCTTTCTCTGATTTGTGAAACTTCAATAAATGGCAATTTTCACCTTTTTTCCTGTCTTGGTCACACAAGATCTGTTCTAATTCCAAAACTACAATACATAGACACTTCAAACCTGGGCTGGATTATTCTCAGCTAGTAGCAGAATATTTAAAACCATGTTTGGGATTCGTGAAACTTTTTTCTGATTTGTGAAACTTCAAAAAAGGGCGATTTCACCACTTTTTTTTATCTTGGTCGCACGAGGACTGCTCTAATTCCAAATCTAAAACACTAGACTCTTCAAACCTAGAATAAATTATTCTCAACTAGTAGCAAAATATTTAAAACCATGTTTGTGATTTGTGAAACTTCAATGAAGGGCGATTTCAGACCCTTTTCTGCATCTGGTTCACACCAGAACTTCTCTAATTCTAAAACTACAACACCCTGACACTTCAAACCAGGACCAGATTGTTTTCAACTAGTAGCAGAATATTTAAAACCATGTTTGGCATTCATGAAACTTTTTTCTGATTTGTGAAACTTCACTTCACTTAACAGGCCGCTGCAGAAGATCTTTCCTTCCAGCAGCCATCACCATCTACAATAACTCTTTGAAGAATTAATTAGTTACACCAACATTTAGTTTCACTTTGGGATTAATAAAGTGGTTTTAATTAGAATTGAATTTGAATTTGAAAAAAATTGCATGGAACAAGTGTGAATAGTAATCTAAACTTTAGTGAAGTTTCACAAATCCCAAACATGGATTAAAATATTCTGCTATTAGAGCAGAATAATATAGTCCAGGTTTGAAGAGTCTAGGTGTTGTAGTTTTGGAATTAGAGCAGTTCTAATATGAGCTACATGCAAAAAAGGGTGAAAATTGAATTTTATTAAGTTTTACAAATCAGAAAAAAGTTTCACATATCACAAACATGGTTTTAAATATTCTACTATTAGTTGCAAATAATCCAATCGAGGTTTGAAGAGTCTAGGTGTTGTAGTTTTGGAAGAGGAGCAGTTATACTATGACAGAGATCCAAAAAAGTGGTGAAATCAACCTTTTTTGAAAAGTTTCACAAATCAGAAAAAAGTTTCACAAATGACAAACATGGTTGTAAATATTCTGCTACTAGTTGAGAGTAATTTAGTCCAGGTTTGAAGTGTCAAGGTGTTGTAGATTTGGAATTAGAGCAGTTCTCCTGTGACCAAGATAAAAAAGTGGTGAAATCGCCAGTTTTTGAAGTTCCACAAATCCGATAAAGGTTTCACAAATCACAAACGTTATAAATTTTCTGCTAGTAATTGAGAATAATCCAGTCCAGGTTTGAAGAGTCTGGGTATTGTAGTTTTGGAATTAGAGCAGATCTCATGTGACCGAGACAAAAATAAAGGGTGAAAATTGCCCTTGATTGCAGTTTCTCAAATCAGAAAAAGTTTTCACAAATCACAAACATGGTTGTAGTTTTGGAGCTGGAGCAGTTCTACAGCAAACCAGATACAAAAAAGTGATAAAATTGCCCTTTATTGCAATTTCACAAATCAGATAAACGTTTCACAAATCCCAAACATGGTTATAAATATTCTGCTGTTAGTTGAGAATAATTTAGTCTAGGTTTGAAGAGTGTAGGTGTTGTAGATTTGGAATTAGAGCAGTCCTTGTGTGACCAAGATAAAAAAAAGTGGTGAAATCGCCT